GTGCCCCGGTTGCTGAGCCTGCCCTGACTTGTTCTGCACCGCGAGACTACGTTTGAAGGTGACAACCGCAACGCAGACTACCAAGTCAACATTCCACTTTCCGCTGTCTGGTGTGCGGACGTCGGCACTACACTGTGCCACTCAGTGACAGCCTTGCACACTTTTTGAAACCACAGTCAAGGACAAATGAGGTCTGTTGTACAGTGTCTTCGTCCAAAAAGTACCGTAGACTTTCGAACCAATTATTTATCCCTTTTGACATTCGGGGTCGTCGTATCGGGAACCTCAATATCGCGCGGGCAGTCCATTTGCCGCGTTACCGTTGTACGATCCTGTGCTAAGGCCGTGATCTCAAAGCCAGGAATTGGCTAATTAGCCGAAACGCACGATCTAGGTGTCCTATCTGACAGGCAACGTGTAGTCTAATTCACCCACGGACGGCCAGTAATAATTGCGGTGAAACCGAATTCTACGAACTTCACATGCTTTTGTTCAGTAGCCGCAAATGGGCAGTGAACAATATATTGAATTGGACGCTGGCAGAAAGTATAGATGGGTAGACCGTGACTCTATAGGAAATTAACAGTAAATCGTGCGGAGAACTAAAGGCTTACGGCTAGACTGAACCTCGGGCAGTTAGCAACATAGGATGGCACACGAAGGGTAGTGTGCTATAGGACAAATTAAACGGGAGAATTGTTGTTCAGCTCAAAGTGGGACAAATTTTCAGCAACTAGCCCAGAAATGAATGTAAACAAGTCGTCCATGGAAAAACGGTTCGGGTAGAGTCGAATTTGTATTAGTCTTGAAACTTGAGCAGCCACCGTAATGGTGATGAATTGGCCTGAGGAATATTCACGGACNACGAGGATTTGCATAAATAAGCGTCTAATGATGTCTTGAATTAGTTATAAAGGGAGCGTGGACAACCGTCGGAGGAAGCATATTTCATGCAGCTTCTGTCCGAAATGAGAATAATTGTTGCCTAATGAAAGTGTGTCCTCCGTGCTTGAAAGTCTCCTTACTATATCCCCAACGTATGTTGGTTGGGTCAACGGTAAAAAATCCTGTTGAACAAGCTTTGTTCAAACAGGGCATAAGTAAGAATTAGGTCCCCTCGGAGGCGCCGGTACTCCAGAAGAAAGAGATCAAGCATCGCGAGACGCGTTTCGTATTCGACGGATTTGAGCCCGGCAAACATTCTCGTAGCGGCCCGCCGGAAACGCTCAATGAGGGTGACGTCTTTCGTGCGTCCTGAGTAGACAACTTGGTTGACGTATTCCGGGGGCGGTCTGAAGTAGTCCTCATAGAGTATTTGGAAGTCCATGAGAGTAATACGGGAGAAGGTGCATCGGATCATCCCTAAAATGGCGCTTGCCTTTTGGGTCGATTTCTCATGGTGCAGTGAGAAGGACAAGTTTGAGGAGACCCAGATGCGCAAATCCTTTTTGGTATCTATCCTCGTGATGTTTTCTGGTCCTTTCTCACCATGCATAACATAGGCATTCGCTGGGTCTCCTCCAAACGACAAATGGTCATTCAGTTAAGGTACCAGTTAAACGACCAATGGTTTGCGGCGATCAGGGATTAACGGATTCGCTGAGCTGGATCAAAGCCTCCCACCAAGGTTGCTGCTCTTGAAATTATCAGTTGTGGGCGGTGATCCTTCAGGAGTGAGGCAAACAGAGTGGGCATGTAAAATGGGTTTGAATGTAGTCCTGGACGCATGGCGTGACTTTTCGAAGAGGAGTAGTTTAATGTACTAGGTTCATAAAGTCAGATGAATGGATTGATACAGAGTATCAAGGCTTTCGCGCAAT